GTCTGCTGGAAGTTAAACTTGGCTCGTACAACCAGCTGGGTGTTGCTATTATCAGTCATGTCCTAAAAGACAGGTAGGGGACAAGTGGGAGAAATTTACATGAAATATATAGTCTATTTTGCTATAAAATATATTACATTTTAATAAAATATTCTATGGCAAGAGACTGTCTAAAGTAAAGAAACCTGTTTCCCATTTCCCTGTGTACCTTGCCCATGGCCCAGCTGCAGCCCTAGGACACTCTCTCCACAAAGCAAAGGGCCCCCTTCTAACTCTTCCACCGCAGCACAAACACACACAGGTTTACATGTATTTAGAGAGAAGCAGTGTGCACACGTCTCTACCTCAAAAACAAGTCACAAGATTGTGGACAAGTTTCCAATCACATAATGCTAAAATGTACATCTGAGCTACTATTGAACTTTAAGTTATTCCAAGTATTTTTCTATATACTATATGCAATGTTTTTCTTAGCTTGCAAAAGGCTGCATTAAAAATAGTTGCACATCCATATTTGAACACATATAAATAATAAGCCTGTAAGTTAAATTCCAGGGGACATGTGTATTGTAAATTTTAGATATTTCTAAACTGCCCTAATAAGTCCTACACACACCAAGCAATGTGCCCACTGGGTACCTAAGTGCTCTTCATCAAACTTGTACCAACCTTGAGTCACTAACAAGTACTAATTTCTGTCATAATGCCAGGGGAAACAGTACCTTACAATCTGCATAGCACTGTTCTCAGAGATGACACTTTCAGGTTTCTGGGAGGCAGGAGAGGAAAGAAGACTACTGGGTTTCTGCTCTTCTTCACCCAGCTTGGACAAGGCTCTGGAGAGGCTGGTAAATGCAAATCTACCAACAAGCAACAGAGAAAAGCAAAAGCCCTAAGCAAGCCTCTCTCAAGTGAAAAGGGGTGGCCAGCAGGCCCCAGAAATTCCATGCCCAGGTCACTATACCCACACCATCTTCTAGGGACCAGAGGTCATGTGCCCATCTACCACAGCGGTGGCCTCATTTTACCCATACCTCAAGGTCAATAAAGGCTAGCACATCATGCCATGGTCACAGGGCACTATTGCTCTGCTCATATCAGTGATGTCAGCAAAGACCACCACCCAACCAACAGCAGCAGGCAGCACCATCTGATCATACTGGTGTTTCCTAGCCTTCCACACACCCACAGAGACAGAAGACTGGCAGAGGACCCAACAGCTCTGACCCATTCTCCAAGGTGTCAAAGATACAATAGAAAACATTCTTCATTGCACAGAAGACCTCATCATTCCAATAAACAAGAAAGGAACAACCTAAACAAAAAAAGGCAATCAATGGAAACAACTTAGTATGAAAGGAAAGACACAGAAAAAAAGCAAAGTCCGCCCTCAGATGCATTAAGATGATTTTAAAAAGTGGTCTTAGAAAGATGAAATATAATGTCCTGAGGAAGCACAATATTTCCATGGGTACTATGCGTTATAACAAAATGCATGTCATGTTTTGGCATAATTTCTTGTATGCCTTGGAAATACACTTTGTAAACATAGAAATCAATAGGTACCAAAGCAGACAGGGTCAGGAGAGCACCCAGAGAAGCCTAGGATCTCCAACTCCAGAGAGACTATCAATAGACGAGGAAGTACCGTAAGTATCAAGTCCTTCCTCCCAGAATGAAGGCTGACAGAACACTTAACCTAATACTGTACTCCAACTCTGAGGACCACACTGTGAACTCCCAGTCACATTTCACTTAGGAGCATCACTGAGAGCTCCCTGTCACACTTCCCTATCAGAAGATGCACATTCAGGGCCCAGACACTCTAGCATCAGTAACATTCCTCAGTAGATAAAAGTTTGATGGCAAATCTCCTACATGAGAAAAGCCCTAACCCAAATCCACAGCATGGGTCTACCACACTCCAGATTTAACTTGCTTCTCCTTCTCTGGTTTGAGGCGTTTCACAGAGCAGGGGCTCAAATGAGCTGAGATCATCTGAAAAGGGGTAGGAAGCAAACTTCTAGAGAAAGGAGTAAACGGGACTGTGAAAAGTATCCAAGGGACAAGTTACAGCTTCTGCCTCAGAGCAAACTGGTCAAGCCTGCCTATACCCAACAACAGGAGTCCATCCTGCGGCAGAGATGGTGTCAGCAAAGAACAAGGTTATGAGCTTTTCATGATGGCACATTCCTGTAATCCCAACACTTGGGAAACGGAGGCAAGAAGGCATTTGAGGCCAATCTGGGCTACACAGCAAGACTTTGACTCAAAAAACAAAACAAAGAACAAAGCTATAAAAAAGACAGCCAGTAAGACAGTCCCAGGAGGACAGGGTGCTGGGGTAAGGTAGTCCTGAACTACAGGGTTGTGGGCAGTGACTAAGAGTGTGAGCATGGGTGTCACAGTACCTTCCAATACAGTGTGAACAAGGCTGTCACCAGCACCTTCCAATACAGTGTGATCAGGGTGCCAACAGCACCTTCCAAACCAGACTGTGGGGTGGGAGAGTCAGCTACAAGCTCAGTACTATGCTTTCTTTTATTGAGACCCAAAAGCAATGCTGAAGAACCACAAGACGTGGGGGCTGGGGCAATGGCTCAGCAGTTAAAAACACATCAGGGCTAAAGAGGTGGCTCAGTGGTTAAGATGTGGGCCTGGACAGATGGTTCAGCAGTTAAGAGCACTGGCTGCTCTTGCGGAGGACGTGGGTTCAGTTCCCAGCACCCACACGGCAGCTAACAACCATCAGAAGCTCCAGTTTCAGGGGCTCCAATGCCCTCTTCTGATCTCTGCAGATACTACATGACAATCATACACAAAAGTAAAAAAAGAACA